CAATGGGATTTCTATGCACTGTTACATAAATAAATAAATACAAAATCAGTATTTTTCAAAGTGGTAAGTAAAATATTTCTTATTGTGTATTAATTATAATAATATTGTTAATTATTGTGGTATGCTTTAAAAAAATACTACTTTAGTCTACTTCATTCTTTTTCACTAAATTTCATGTTCAATTCAATGTGTGACTTGCCTTTTCTTATTAAATAATTAATGTAAAATGAGTGAACATTAACATCAATTCTGAGCAAAATTTAACAACTAATGTTTTTCTTTGTGGAGCTAAATTAATTTATTTACAACATATTATTCTCAAATGCCTAAGCTAATTCACATTTGCAAGAAAGTTTATACATTTACAAACAGCAATTCATAAACTCATGCAAATATATAAACTTTTTGTGAAAAAAACTATTTCAATTTAATAAAAATGTTCTATAGAAGTTTCTTTATAATCATGACAAATGTTTGATTTGACAGCTTTTTTAATTTTCTTTCGTAATTAAATTCCATTAACTGTCTTTAGTACAAATAATACTGCAAATACACCTAATTAGCTCATGCATTTGTAAATCATATTTTCTCAAATTAACTGAGAGACTATTTTTAAATGTTGTTTAAAATGTAATGCTTGTGTTCCACAGAAGAAAGGAAGTCATGCATGTTAGAAATGTGTGTGTGTATCTGTACCACTGTGCACATCTTCTCCTCCTCGCCTCTTCCTCTCCTCTCCTGTCTTGTGCTGAATTTCGTTTAAAGAGAAAGTTCATAGAAATACTTTGAAAAAAGACAGTACAGAGAAAGTCAATGGGATTTCTATGCACTGTTACATAAATAAATAAATACAAAAGCAGTATTTTTCAAAGTGGTAAGTAAAATATTTCTTATTGTGTATTAATTATAATAATATTGTTAATTATTGTGGTATGCTTTAAAAAAAATACTACTTTAGTCTTTCTACTTCATTCTTTTTCACTAAATTTCATGTTCAATTCAATGTGTGACTTGCCTTTTTTTATTAAATAGTTAATGTAAAATGAGTGAACATTAACATCAATTCTGAGCAAAATTTTTTATATATATATATGTTCAAATGTAATTTATTCCTGTGATACAAAACTTAATTTTCAGCATCCTTACTCCCTACAGAAATCTTTTTAATATGCTGATTTGTGGCTCAATTATTATTGGTACTCAATTATTAATAATGGTTCTTATTAAAATTCTTATTAAGCAGTGTTGTATTTTTCTCTCAGGATTCTTTGAATAAAAATTTCAAAAGAACAGCATTTGTTTGAAATACAAATCTTTTATGACATTATAAATATCTTTTAATTTAATATACTCTTGCTGAATAAAAGTATTTTAAAAGTCTACTTGAACATATTACTTGAATGGTATCAGGATTCACACAACAATAAAAGTTATTGTTTATAATTCAATTTAATAAAAATGTTCTATAGAAGTTTCTTTATAATCATGACAAATGTTTGATTTGACAGCTTTTTAAATTTTCTTTCGTAATTAAATTCAATTAACTGTCTTTAGTACAAATAATACTGCAAATACACCTAATTAGCTCATGCATTTGTAAATCATATTTTCTCAAATTAACTGAGAGACTATTTTTAAATGTTGTTTAAAATGTAATGTTTGTGTTCCACAGAAGAAAGGAAGTCATGCATGTTAGAAATGTGTGTGTGTATCTGTACCACTGTGCACATCTTCTCCTCCTCGCCTCTTCCTCTCCTCTCCTGTCTTGCTGGGCAGATGATTCTCAGGTGAGCTCTATATATTATTATTACCAAAGCTATTTTATTTTCACATTTAGTGCTTGGCGAGTGTTCATTTTGGATCCTGTTTGAGAGGTTCAAACAATTTGTCTTCTTTAAAACACTAATACTGACAAATCAGCTCTGTAAACTGGCTAGGCGGCGTCTTACCCTCCAGCTGTATCTGTAGTTTAACAGGATCCTGTTCCCAAAAGGGAGAGTGAGTTCGGCTGTTTATGTTTGAGAAGGGTGTAGTCTCACTCTTTTTGACATTGGACTCAGCTGTGATGTCACTAAAGAGCTGCGGAAAAACAAAGAGAGTGTGAAAATGTCAACAAGCTTTATTAACCAACAGTGTACCCTGTGATAGTTCGATCTTGAATACTACCTTAATGACTTTGTGAGGGATCTGT